ATAGAATTAAAAAAATACTTTACTTACGGTTCATCACATTTTAACCATTTGTCCTTGTTTTAACCAACATCGTCTTACCTTTTTTAATAGCACGATTTTATGTATGAAGGATTTGTTAGATGATATTCATCATCCTAACATTTTCGCATTTCTGCGAGCTATTGGTATTTTATATTGTATATAACTGTTTTATCTGATTTTATTCTCCTATTTCCTACCCATGAACCGTTTTACCTTTTCTGTGCATTTTATAGAATTACGCTTTTATTGATTTTATGAACTTTTAAAAATACGTGTCTTGAGATAAACAATTTTATTACTTTCATTTATTTTATGACAATGAAACTATTGTGTGCAATTTACCATTAGATCTAACTCAACAAATTGTTTGGCGCAGCATATCCTCCTTTGGATCTTGTGCCATATAACTTCTACATTCAATCATTCATCTCAATGGGTAGTGAATAAAAAGTGCCGAAGCATCTGAGGCAGAAAAGATGGGAAGGGTCCAATTTCGTTGTTAGGCTTGGGTTGCAATGGTAGAGTCATCATAGGGCTGGGGTGTTCCCCTGTATCAGTGATTGTAGAAGGCTGAGAGTCTCATGATTCTTTAGGAGATCTTGCAACTCTTTCACTACAGAAACTAGTCGGTGAGCTGAAGAAGTCTTAGTTGAGGTCTTTTTTCTTGGATGATTTTTTCTACAGGGGCGGGCCTCGCACCCTGAGAAATTGGAGGTGTGGGCTTTCTGGCAATTGCAGCATGTGACTGGAGTGTCCTTTGGCTTAGTGCACTGGTAGGAGTAGTGCCCCTTAGCATACTTCATACATCTTGGTAGATCAGTGCAGGAGCTCTGGGTGTGTCCGTAATTCTGGCAGCGAAAACACTGTAACGGCCTACGGCCGCCGTGAAAACGCTCAATGCTGACCGGGTATTTCTTGATCATTTCGGTGTAGAAAATCTTTTCATGGTTCGGCAGCTTGGGGACTATAACCAGGAAAAGTGGGAGGAGCCTATAGGCTCCGCCCACCCTCTTCTTGAATTGTACGATTTTGTAAACTTCTATGCTCAGTTTCCCTAATTCTAGGGAAATTAAATCGGGGTTAAAGTCCTTTGGTAGGCCACGAAAAAGCACTTTGAAGATTCTCAGCATTGTTTGATGGCCCTAAAAAGGGCCCTGGGAGGGCGGCATCAGCTGGAGCTTCTTCGATGGTTTCCATCGGGACTGGAGGGGGTGACGCCGGCAACGGAAGGAGGGCAGGCAAGAGGCTTAGGTGAGGAAACGGCTTGGGTTGTTTTGGCTGCGCTAGACTTTTTCTTCTTCCGTCTCTTCTTCGGAGGCTCAGTTGTAGGGAATTCTGAAGACGCTGGCTCGGATGCCGAGGCTTCCTCGTCAGGCTCAGAAGTCAGGGAGGCGGCAGGGATCTCAGGTGCGGGCAGGCTGGGATCGGGCACAGGCTCTGTCGGAGTGACTGTATCCTTGGAGGTTGAAGGAGTCAGAACTGAATTCAGCAAGTTAAGGTTCTTGAGTACAGTGGCCATATCAATTCCTTGTCCTTCGAATAATCAGTTGACTTTCTCCATCGCAGAACTAAGATCTGCTGAGACAGCATTCGCCTCAGCAATGGAAGTTTCGAGTCGACGGCCGGGAGGTAAAACCTTCCCGCCGCGGGCAGATCGCTGGTACGGCATGGTCTGTATCGGAACTTGATTGAGCACAACCTACTCTCAGTTCAGTTGGCTATCGAATGTGATGAGCACCCTAACTAACTAACTAATCATATTTTACAGAGTGCCTATCCCCTAGGGGATATCTGCTCTTTCATCGCATTGAAATAAATAATGGGTGGGGCGGGTGCCTAGTCACTAAAGACAGTATATATTAAAATAAAGAAAACAGTGTATAATCTGGGTTAAGTACGTAGGTATATCGCAATTGAACATATTATAGGTACAAGTGAAAATTAATAAACGAAACAAGTGAAAAATTATTTACAAAATATTTACAAAGATTATTTACAAGAGAGATGCACTCCCTTCACACTCCCTCGCCTCCCCCCGGCAAGCCGGGCTTCGTAGGTGCGGAGTGAAAAGTTTGTTCATCGATTACGAAAAATGCCTAGATAGTACGCAGTCGCTAAGAAAAAAGGCGGTAATCGGGCTGTAATTCCTATTATCGTCTAGGTAATCGATGTCTAGTAGCTTATTGAAATCGCATGTATCGCAATTTTTGGCGCCCTTAAAAAAGGCAGTATTTAGTTTATAGATGTATTCGTCAATTTTCGGTATTTTTAAGTCGTTATACAGTGTGTTATTTCTAACAAACCAGGGTGCCCCTGTGATCCTCCTCATTACTTTATGCTCGAATGTACGTAATCTCTTCCTCTGTTGATTTGAGATTGTTCCCTAGGCCGGGGATGCGTAGCATAGAATCGGCCTAATGCACATTAGATATATATGTCGTTTGGTGTTTAGTGCTAATTTGCTGTCATAATTGAGTAGCGGCTTAAGTGCTTGAAATGCGGCTCCCGCTTTTCGTAGGATATTTGTGATGTGCAATTTCCAGTTCATTGTGTTATTAGCACAATGCCCAGATAATTTGCTTTTGTTACTTGAGGAATTTCTTCATTAAAGAGTAGGATTTTTTCAAGCTTTTTTCTCTTCCTTTTGCGGGTTTTCCTAATGATGATTAGATTGGATTTCGAGCTATTGATTTTCACCTTCCATTTACTGCACCAGGTTTCAATGTCTTTGATGTTGTTTTGCAGCCTTTTGATTGCTGTATTTTTATTTAGTGATCTGCTCAGTATTGCTGTATCATCAGCGTAAAAAGCAGTTTGTGTGTTCGGGTTTCCATTCATGACTGGGAAGTCAGTGCAGTATATTAAAAATAGAATGGGCCCAAGGATTGAGCCTTGCGGCACACCTGCTTGTATCATTCTGCTTGTCGAGTAATGCTCGTTTATTTTAATTTGGAAAGTCCTATTTAATAAATAGTCGTTGATGATGTGGATGAAATCCGTCGGCAACTTATGGCGAATCATTTTGACGATTAGTCTGGTGTGCCATACCCTGTCAAACGCCTTAGCGACGTCCAACATGAGTACGGCTGTGGCTTGTTTTTTATAGAACCCTTCGCTGATGAAGATGAGCACCCATTTTTTTAGCGCAATATATATTAGTTTAGCCCCGCCCACCTGCTTTCCTATTGGTCGATCTCAATCGACATTCACTCCGAGTTTATATAGCGCCAAAAAGGAGCGCCCCGCAACGACGACTTTCGGTTTCGTAGAGACCAGACCGCATCTCTGCAAGAATCCCCGATTCGACCCCCGCGCCTCAGCTATGATGAGAAAGAAGGATAGTTACAGTACGATCATGAAGAGGAGCAATAACGCCAAGAAGAAGGCTCTAGAACGTCTTCGAAGCAACACCGCCCCTGCTTCAGCGAAGAAGATGAAAGATAAAGAGAGAGGAGAAGATGATGAAGGAAGGAAGAAGAAAGAGTCTCATCCCTGATTCCAGTTCCCCCACCATTGTTGGAGGAAGGACAGCGAACAAAGGGGAATCGTCACCTTCACACACACTGTCGGATCCCGTTTCCCCAACCAACCCCAATCTTAAATCCCCCCCTGCCTACACAGCCTCAACACGAACAGGGGGGGTGCTCAGTTAATGGATACTACCTCCCTTAATGATTCTATCAACCCATTCGATCGCGAAATTGAGGATATCAAAAACCAAAGAGAAATGTATCGCATTCTTTATGCATTAAAACATGAGTACTCCCCAATTGGAGATATAAAGCTTCATTGGATCTTTCTTTCGAAGATCAAGCTTTCATTAAGCTAGAAAATTTTGTCAAAGGACTTCGCGATATTTTAAATGTTTACGCAAGAGTAAACAACATTTAACTATTTATGATCCCAGTGGACTTCGCGTCCATGGACGTAATTTTAAAAGAAAAGGAGAAAAACGTGGTCAAAAGCCTTTCTCAAGGCTAGTAAACCTATTAAAACCGACGAGTACGGGTTTGAAACTAAGTCAAAAAAGAAAAGGAAAAACACTTCCCCTTCCAGTGGAGTGTTCTCCCCAGAAAACTACTCAGCTCCGGTCGTAATGACCGGAAACCACAACGCAGGAAAATTCCTCTGCTCCCCGGCCACGTAATCCTCCTCCATTTTTAATAAAACCGAGGCAAGATTGGCCGCTACTCCTCTCTCTCTTAAAGAGAGAAGCACCGTCCGTGCGAACAAAACTCGCCGGACAATTCATCAAAGTAAATGTAAATGACTCTGATGAGTATCGTCTTGTTTCGGACTTTTTACTCACCAGAGGTGTCGAGTTTAAAGGCTTCGCCTTTCAAGAGGAGCGACGACTTAAAGTCGTCATTAGGGGGCTCCCTTCACTCACACATATTGATGAAATCAAAGCTCAAATTGAGGTACTGGGCTTTGAAGTGCACAGCCTCACTCAGCTCACCAGACAAGGTGCAAAAAAGACCCTAATGCCCCTATTTTACCTCCAGATTAATCCAACCCAAAATTCCGAGAATATTTTTGAAATAACAGAACTTCTCGGAACCGAAGTAAAAATAGAGGACGTAAAGGTCCCAAACAGTCTATCGCTGCCAGGGATTTAATCACTCCTCTGAAATGTGCCAGCTCCCTATTAAGTCCCTACGTTGTGCCCAGCCGCACCAGGTCAGGGACTGTGCACATCCCTTTGACGCACCACTCCTGTGCGCTAACTGTGGCGGGGAGCACGCCAGTAATTGGCGTCAATGCCCCAAATTACCCAGAAAAGGGAATAATAACTTTTCAAAAACCAAAACAAGGGTAGAAACAATAAGAATCCTAAAAATTCCCACGTAAAAACCACGAAAACACCGAGGAATTTTCCTGTTGCACAAAGTGTAACCCCCAACATCTGCTATGTTGAAGGGCATTAAGCCAACCCCCACCCCCCTATAATTAAAAACACCATACCGAGTTCCAATATCAGTGAATTCTCTGAAATGTTCAGAGCACTCACGGAACTCGGTAAGGAGGTCGAAAACGATGGAAAACTATTGCAAGTCATGCAGCTCAGTTTCCCCTCTTTCACCCCCAATCACACGTATGCAGACAGAGCATACTTAACTTACATAAATTACCTAAACATCAAAATGGCCACCACCGTCCCCACTCCTAAACCGTAATGTCTGGGTCACTTACGATTTGTTTCTGGAATGCGGCAGTCATTCGTACGAAATTCCCTGAATTCCGTGACTATGTAATCGATAATAACTTCGATTTAATTCTTATACAAGAAACCCACTTCTCTAGTAGAGGAGCCCCCCCCCCAAACTCCCTAATTATTCCATCTATTTCAACAATAGAGATGCTCGCATCGCCTCTGACGCAACGTGCATCTATATTAAAAATAGCAAAATCCATCAAAATATTCCCACCCCCTCTCTTCAAATTTTAGAGGCAACTATTGTTAATATTTTTATTCCAAATTCACCGCCAATAACAATAATGTCTGCTTATCTTCCCCCCAAGAAAAGTAGAATCCCTTTTCCGGCTGGCGATTTTTCCAAATTATTTTCACTCTCAGCAAATATTATTCTAGCTGGAGATCTAAATGCCAAACACACCTTTTGGAATAATTCCAACAATAATGTCTATGGCAAAAACCTGTTGATATGGGCCCAAAGCACCGGCAACAGAATTATAGCCCCCTTTGGCCACACGCATAATTTCCTAGGTTTTACTAACCCCTCAACCTTGGACATTGCGTTATTCAAAAACATCCCTTATAATTATCAAATGATCACTGATAACTGACCACTACCCCGTTATCCTAACATTGGATACAGTAACGCTCAATTTGAACACTCCGGGTCAGCTCAACACTGACTGGACGAAACTTACTTAAAGATAAATCTCTTCCCCCAGCAGATCTCCATTCACTAGATGATGCTGAGAATTCATTAAATATTCTAAATAATATCATTAACGATACCAAAATAGAATCCTCCACTCCTAAATTCAGGAGTAGTCCCAAAAAACTACTCCCTGATATTAAGGATAAAATCAAAAATAAAAATTATCTACGTAAACTTTGGCAGAAAACTAAAGATCCCAACATTTTAATAAAATTACGTAGACTCCAAAACGAGATCAAATCGGACATAAAGAAATTTCAAGAAGAATCCTGGACTGATTTTTGTGAAAGTTTAAACGACGATCATACTGCATTTTGGAAGGCCCTTAAGACCAAGTGTCGGCCATTTCAAAGAATGCCCCCCCCCCCTCAATAGTCCCACCGGTACTGTTTTTCTCCCTAACGAGAAAGCGGAAGTTATTGCGGAATCGCTCAAAGAGCAATTTAAACCGCATAACATTCCCGATAATAATAATACAATCATTTTCCAAAATGCAGTAAATGACTTCCTTGTTTCTCCCTTTGAAAAAGAACTTGAACCTGTGCAAATAACAGAAGTTCAAGAATTTATTCAAAAATTAAATGTTAAAAAAGTCTCCGGCCTTGATAAT